GGTGCCTTCTGCAGTATGAATGGATGAATGAATCACAGGAAAAAAAAGACCCCAAATAAAGTGTATCAATCTTTTTTTTTAAAAAGAAAACTAAAAGTGATGTATGGACCTCAGAAGACTTTTTAAGATGGTTATGTGTGTGTATGTGCGCATGTGTAAATGTTTGGTGGGGGCACAAAACTTTGCAAATACAAAGGCTGTTTGTCTGCCATTTTGTATGTAAATTATTTATTTTTGTAGATTTTGACCAATGAGCTCTGCTGTCACACAATTTATACTGGAGCAAAATAATAATTAAAAAAAAAAACACTTTGAAACACACAACAGGCTTCGGAAGAGCTTTTCTCCTTCTGACTTCCTGATCTCCCCTTCCTCTCCATGCTGCCTTTTCCCAATCCCAGTCTCCTTTTTTCTCCCGTTGTGTTCTTTTATCTTGCCATCCCTTTTATTAGTCTCCTCCTCTTCTTGTTCCGTCCATCTTACAATTCTCTTTCCTCCAGATCTCCCTTTCTCTCGTGTGCTCTCTCATTTTCATTCTTTCTCCCTCTCCTTCCATCTTCTCATCCTTGTTCACCATTCCCACCTACATCTTGTTTCCTTCTTCCTCCTCCCATCCACCATCTCCACTTTCAAATCCGCTTATCCTCACAAGAGTCGCAGGAGGTGCTGGAGCCTATCCCAGCCGCCTTTGGGCGGTAGGCGGGGGGCACCCTGAACCGGTTGCCAGCCAATCGCAGGGCACAACCATTCGCTCTCGCGCTTACACCTCGGGGCAATTTAGAGTCCTGCCATGCATGTTTTTGGAATGTGGGAGGAAACCTGCTGTGTGCACGTTGGCCTCTTCGGGACAGTGTGGTGCTCTGCGTGCATGGCTTGCCGTACACATTTGGAGCCAAGAAGAAAGTTGGAATTGACCTCTTTAGAACACATTTTTCACAGACTGGAGAGAATTTCTGGTTTTGAGAAATATATTAACTGTGTGTACAGCTCAATCACAAACGCTACACGCTTGCTGCACAGCATGTTGCATTAGCTTTACTTTCGGTAAAATTCCAAACGCCCTGCGCCCTTCTGCACGCTAATTGTTCTTTTTCGTTTGAACATTTTAAAGCTATGGCGAGAAGCTCAAACCTAAATCACGATGACATTTCAGTTAATTCTCCATCTCTTTCTCTCTCTCTCTCTCTCTCTCTCTCTCTCTCTCTCTCTCTCTCTCTCTCTATATATATATATATATATATATATATATATATATATATATAAAACATATAATATAAAAATGTGTGTGCATAGGTGCGTGTGTATGTATGCAAAGTGTTGTGTAATTTGTCAAACAGTTTATTCTGGTTCTGTGTCAATCAAAGTCGCTTCCAACATCATCATGCTGCGCTTGACCTTTAACACACTTGAAAACACGGTGACTTTTATGGCTTAGCTGCCTCGATTCAGGTAACACGCGCGCGCACGCACATAATCACGCACTTTAGGTCAGCGCTCGTGTTCTTCGGGATCCGGAGTTGCATCCTTCCGTCGATTAAGTTGCAACGCCCCCCCGAGCCATTTCCCGTCTTCACAATAAAGGAAGATTGTTTAAAAAAAAAAAAAAAAAAAAAACATTTCTTAAATACGATTTCTGAATCATATCATTTCAGATATACGTACAGTGACACAGCTTTGGAGACTTTTGGGCCTGAAATATACTCGTTTTATGGCTAATTATAATGAAGTCAGCACACACAGACAGTTTCAAAATTTGCTTGACTTCAATTTCGAAAAATAGAAGTGCGGTTTCTGACTTTCAGGAACTAGCCACACATGAGGGATTATTAAGAAGAAAATAATTTGGTCTCTTAATATGAAGCACTTAGCCGGAAGTACTGTCCGTGTGGCTGCGTGCGTGCGCGAGCTCGCGCATTGATTTGCGCGGCGCCACGTCGGCAGAAGTGTAGAAGAAGAGGACGAGACGCGAGCAACGAAGAAGAAACGGCAGCAACCGAGGAACGTTGGTGCGTGCGTGGCGTTGTGCGCGAAGCGAAGCGGACTTGCGGGGAGAAGAGACACGCACACGCCGCCACGTTGACGAGCTCCGGCGGGGCCCGAGCAACTGTGTAAAGAAGGCCGGCCGCCGTGAGCCTCTTCCCGCTTGCAGCTCGTCATTCGTCCCGAAGGCTCTTAGTCGTCGGAGGCTGAAAGGACGAGCAGAGACAAACAGTGTCAAGTTTCTCCGACGCCAGGTGTGACACGGGCACAATGGTCAAGGTAAAAACTTGCATGCTCTTCATATTTATGTCGCACTAAGGTACTTTTACACTTTAGAGTGCCAAATGCAGATTTTCATAGTTTAGAAACATTTTCGTTTATAAACTTATTGCGATTGTTTCGAATAGGTTTATAGGAAATGTCTTCACCATGTAGATCGTGTATGAATGCACTTTTTACACTTTTTTTTCCCCCAAGGCCAAGTGTTTTCCTTTCTACCATGTCGTTGGGCAGCCCTTAAATCTTGACGTTATTTAGAGAGTAGCTAGACCATGAATATTGGTTTCATTTGCTCTCTAACGTTGACATTTTAACGTGCAATCCTTTTGTATGTTATCGAAGCAATTGTACTCTCTCACACAGTCGCTCGACCACTACTTGTATAAGGGCCTGTAAAATGTTGTATAATAGGATGGAGACCTATTAACAGATACGCCTTTATATGGCCATGTAAATCCATCCATCTATCTAGCTATCGATCAAATAGAGAGCGTATAAAGCACAGAAATATGTCCTGCGTTTTATAAAATACTCTAACGGCTAATTTTTGAACCACCTGCAAATCTTGAGAACATTGTGGATCAGGCACGATTTTTAAAGGTACATTTTTTTTAATTGCAGACAACAGACGGGCATAATAATTGATCTTTTGTTGATTTGTAGTCAGTTGATAAACGTTCACTCGGTGTTTTTTTTAATTAATCAAGCCTTGACGCGGAGTCGAAATGAAGTGCATGAATTGACTGGCACCTGCAGAGGTGCTGTTGAGTCACTCAACTAGTTTGAAGAAGAAGAAAGCCAACATGGCGTGTATTCTATTAAGTTAAGCTACATCGAAGCCAACTTTATCCTTCCCCATTAGTCTACAAATATGGAATATAAATGTGAAAGTAATGTAAAAGTGTAGTAATTGCCTGTTAACTGCAGAGGCGCTGTCAAGTCACTCGACTCGTTTGAAAGAGAATAAAATGGTGTCAGCTCTGACGTTAAGCTACTTTGACATTATTCTTCTCAACATATATAGAATCTAAATGTGAACGTTACATAGAAATAAAAAAAACAATATAAATAAACTGTTCATGTTCCAATTTAGTCCATGAAGGAAATTTTGTCTTGGGGACTGAAACGTGTCAATTATGAGCCAAAAATCGATTTCGTCACAAACTACATTACCCAGAATGCAATGTGTTGGGTACATTGACTGAGGCCACAATGTCATAAGACCGTGACCCAATTGTGTATAAATGTCACAAGTGTTTCGTAACGTGTGAAATGAAGATTTCATGTTCCAGCCACCAAAATGGCCATCTTTTGCTTTTGGAAATTGATCTCTAATTTTCCTGCAGAATGTGAATAATGTCAATGTGGAGCCCCAGCCTGGCACCACCCTGGCCGCCAATCAAAACGAGCCCACCTGCAGTGAGCCCACAGAGGGTAAGCTTCCGAAGACGACCCTTTCCCTCTATTTGCCAACACGCACGCACGCACACACACACACACACACCATGCGCGGCCCTCCTCCCAGGCCTCGAGGGTGTCCAAATGTTGGCATGCCCTTCGGGAACATGGCGCAATATGTGTATGCATGTTGCCCCCTGCTATTTTCTGTGTGTGTGTGTACGCGCGCGTGTGTGTATAATTTGTTTTTTTGTCGCTCTATTTGCGGCACTCGGGGTTGCAGTGCTCCCTAACGTGTGACATGTTGAGAATCATACAGATAAAAGGTAACTCGAAATGCCATCAAATAAATTGGTGCAAAGATGAATGACGCAATTTAGGATCAGAGGTGCAACCATTATTTGATTAATCGGCATTCGTTTCCGTTTTTATGAGCGTAAGCTTACGATGTAGCTGTTCTTCTGTTTTCTCCTGCACCACCTGTTCATTATTGTGCTAATTTGTTTGTTCTCTGCCCTGACGCGGTTCCAGACAGACTTTTGTGAAAGGTGTACGGTACGAGGGTAAGCTTCCGAAGACGACCCTTTCCCTCTATTTGCCAACACGCACGCACGCACACACACACACACACACCATGCGCGGCCCTCCTCCCAGGCCTCGAGGGTGTCCAAATGTTGGCATGCCCTTCGGGAACATGGCGCAATATGTGTATGCATGTTGCCCCCTGCTATTTTCTGTGTGTGTGTGTACGCGCGCGTGTGTGTATAATTTGTTTTTTTGTCGCTCTATTTGCGGCACTCAGGGTTGCAGTGCTCCCTAAAGTGTGACATGTTGAGAATCATACAGATAAAAGGTAACTCGAAATGCCATCAAATAAATTGGTGCAAAGATGAATGACGCAATTTAGGATCAGAGGTGCAACCATTATTTGATTAATCGGCATTCGTTTCCGTTTTTATGAGCGTAAGCTTACGATGTAGCTGTTCTTCTATTTTCTCCTGCACCACCTGTTCATTATTATGCTAATTAGTTTGTTCTCTGCCCTAACGCGGTTCCAGCCAGACTTTTGTGAAAGGTGTACGGTACATCGAAGCCCATATTCTGCTCTTTCGCAGTTCTCCGTTTCACGTTAGCATTAGCTTCTCCATTTTATGTTCTCTTGTCTTGCTCGGTGTGTCGCTTGCTGACTTACTCCTCGTCCATCTTGAGTGATGGCGCTTCTTGTTAGAAGTGGAGCTTATTTGCTGCTGCGGCGGCGAGGATCAATGACTTAAGAGGAGAGGATCCACACAGCCGGCGTGTAGCTGCTCACCATTGACATGCGCCGAGCAAGTTAGTTCAGCGCCAAGTGTTAGCCCCACTTAGCTCCCTTTTTTTTTTTTTTAAACCAGCATGGAGCTGATTGGTCAGTGTGACCTGTCTACGAGTAGCATGCCGCTTCTGATTGGTCATCCTTGGGGGAGGACAAGAGAACTTAGTTATGGTGATCATTTAATTGCGTTTGAATCTGAAAATGTGTTCAGTGCTAGTTGTGCCTCTCTCAAGGCAACATTGTGGGTGCTTAGCCTAATCGCTAACTGACAATCTTTAGCCCCCAGCCTAGTTTTTATATAATCCAACAGAGCAAACAAAACACAAGTGACTTTTTTTTTTTTTATCCCGCCCTCCCCCGTCCCTCCGCCCATTAAACCTTCCTTCCCATTTTCTCTTTGTGTGTCCCGGCAGACTCGTCCAAGGATCACACGGCGGCGCAGCCCGGCATGGTGTGGCGAGTGACGGGCGGCCTCTTCAACGTCACCAAGGGCGTGGTGGGCGCGGCCGTCGGCGGCGTGGCCTGGGTGGGCGGCAAGAGCCTGGAGATCACTAAATCGGCCGTCAGCGCCGTGCCCGCCGCCGGCGTGGGCCTGGTGAAGGGCGGCGTGTCGGCCGTGGCGGGCGGCGTGTCCTCGGTGGGCTCCACGGTGGCCAACAAGGTGCCCTTCACCGCCAAGAGGAAGGACAAGGCTGAGTGAGGATCACCCGTTCAGACCTTCACAAAGGGTACACGTGGTGTGGTTTTGATGTGTCCAATGTTCAATACCCGGGGGGCAAACACAACAAAAAAAAAAACCCAAAACAAAAAAATCTTGCACAGACTGGAATCCACGCCGCAACCATGGTGGCTGCCACTTAGCTCCCTTTTTTTTTTTTTTAAACCAGCATGGAGCTGATTGGTCAGTGTGACCTGTCTACGAGTAGCATGCCGCTTCTGATTGGTCATCCTTGGGGGAGGATAAGAGAACTTGGTTATGGTGATCATGTAATTGCGTTTGAATCTGAAAATGTGTTCAGTGCTAGTTGTGCCTCTCTCAAGGCAACATTGTGGGTGCTTAGCCTAATCGCTAACTGACAATCTTTAGCCCCCAGCCTAGTTTTTAGCCCTTCACCGCCAAGAGGAAGGACAAGGCTGAGTGAGGATCACCCGTTCAGACCTTCACGAAGGGTACACGTGGTGTGGTTTTGATGTGTCCAATGTTCAATACCCGGGGGCAAACAAAACAAAAAAACAAAACAAAAAAATCTTGCACAGACTGGAATCCACGCCGCAACCATGGTGGCTGTTGATCACTTTTGTGTGTGCGTAATCCGGACTGTGCTTGACATTGCGCACACAATCAAATATTTTGCTCATGGTTTGTCGGTTTTGTTGGTTTCAACAGGCATTCTCAATTTCAGGATGAGGAGAAGCCTCGCGTAACTAGTCCCAGTGAGTATTAGGGCCGCACTGATGAGGACGAAAATGAAAACGGCAATAGGCATTAACTTGCGAGAGAATAAAGGGGAGAAAGAAGTCATGTTTTCAAGATGTTTTTTTTTTTTCTGTAACGCACTCATACTTCTTGGCATGAAAAACATGGAAGAAAAATCTGATTTTGTCAAATAAATTGTATTTTGCCAAGGAAAAAAAATCATACTTTTGGGGGGAATTAAGTAATATTTTTTCAAGTTTTTTTTTTTTTTTTTTTTTAGGAAAATGTCTTTGTCTTATAATTCTGCATATTTTCAAGTATGAAAAAATGTAATCTTGCAAGAAGTAAGTTAGATCTTTTCCCATGTCATAAACGCTCACTGAGGTCATAGGACATTTTCAAATTGAATTTGAAATTTTCTTTTTGCCCTCAAAAATTCTTTTTTTTTACCCCCCCTGTTTGCTTGAAGTATATACATTTTTAATACTTAAGTTTTCTTGGAAAAAATAACTTTTGTTCCCCCCGTGATAAAAAAAAAAAAAAACAATCTTAAAAAACTGACTTCCAGAAAAGAACATGTAAAAATACTCATCTTAAATGTTATTTTCTTTGAAAAAAAAAATGCATGTGTCCAAAACAAAGTCTGACCTTATTCTTGTTTACATTTCGACAATTATCATTGTAGTATTATTGTTCTTTTCAGTGTGGGCCGTAATACTCTACAGTACACATTTATCGTGTGTGTTTTATAAAAAATTCACATGAAGCTGAGCACTCACAAGAAAGAGACTTTTCCTGAAGTGTGTTTTTTTTTCCTCTTGAAATGCTGTTTTTCTGCATCATATCTTTTAAGTGCCTGATCAGTCAGTACAAGCTGAAGTGTAATCGCCTTCCCCGACTCTGCTGTCTCTTGACCATTTCTGCGACATTTCAAGTGCCAGCGCGTTACCGGGAGTGAGCTGGAGTTTTTGCCGATGGGAATTTGTGAATTATCTCTTTTCAATATGTCAATAAAGTCGTTTTGGAAGGATAACAGCAAATATCTCTCTTATTGCACCTGATTGGTCAGAAGGGAAAACCGCAGGCTTTACCTTGCGGATTTGATTTGATCGACTCGCCCATTTTGGCCTATTTGTCATTGGTGTGAGCTGGAGTTGATCCCAGCTGCCTTGAAACAACAAGCAGGTTCCACACAGGATTGGTCAATAGCCAATTGCCTGCTACACAAACAACCATTCACAATTGGTTTCACACCTTGGGACAATTTTGAGTCTGAGTGAACCTACACGCATGTTTTGGGGGATCGGTGAGGAAGCCGCCACCTCGACAGGATCTAATCACATGCTCGGACTTTCAGTAAGTTTGTCATTCTTTTGAATGTTCTTCATTTATATTCCGGATACATAGATGTACGTATTGTGTACTACTCTGTACTGTTGCTTCTTAAAAAAAGATAAATACCTTGAAGTGGCCGTTTGCTTAATTCGGTATCTGTTAATTTGTTTTGGCAACACGTGTGTGATTGTATTCACATTAACATTTGGAAAGGAATGTTACGTTCCATTGGAATAATGTATTGTTTGGCGTCTTTAAAATAAATATGAAAAAACGTACTTTATTGGTTGTGTCAAAAACACATTTATTGTAATTTGCTTGGGGAAAAAAGCCATATGATTTTAGGACTGCTTTTCAGAGAGAATTCATTCTTTCAACAAAGCACTCCGATAAACAAAAGGCTTCGAAACCGGTTGAAGCGTGCACTGATTTAAATGTTTTTCAACTATCCATCATAGCCCTAGCATGGTGCAGAAGATCCGTTTTAAAGCTTTGTTTTTGGGGGGAGTTTCGCCTTGATCCTCCTTTATTTGTTAATCTTTGTTTCGAAAGACTGTTATTGATCGTTAGATATGACCCTCATATTTGTCTCTTTTTATATATATATATATATATATATATATATATATATATATATACCTCTTATTTTTGACACTTATTCATATCTCTAAAGTACTGTATAGTAAAAAGCCAAAGTTCTTCAATAAATATGCAATTTGTTCCCAAAGGCGTACGGTAGCAGGAAGCCCGATGAGCGCATGCGTACTATAGCTTGACTTTTGATGTTTTTGCGCATGCGTAATACATCACGAAATAAATTCGTGTGATTGACAGCTGCGTTTCCGGTGCTCGAGTCGTTTACTTTGTCACCTGCCGAAAAAAAAAAACCAAGTCCAAATTGACGATAAACGGCGTTCAATGAACTATCGGCAAAGTCCGCGTTTGAAATGAGCTACGCCGTTTGCTGTGGAGGATTCTACTACCTTGAGTAACGTGAGTGTCATTTCTTAGTTTGCCGTAGGACCACATTAATGAGCGCGGGGGTGGATGAGAGAACAAATCCCAATCGATAAAAGCATCGTTCGGACATTGAGCTAGACAACAAACTGTTAGCATCAGAGGAAAGGCGGAAGGGATTGATTAGCGGAATGGTAGTTTATAAATGTTCCCCGGATCGCTTTTCCGTCCGCTTCGGAACCGATATCGTCATTTTTCCAATAGACGTCATTTAGTTTCGGTGTTTTTAAAGTGTGGCATTTGTCTTTGGGGTTTGGTTCGTTGCGTGTGGCGCGCAAAAGGGATTATTTCTTTAATCGCTTGTCTGTTTCACTTTCGTTTCGACTTCGCTCTCGGTAGTTTACAAACCAACAAACTTTTGCATTTGTCTCTACTCGAATTTAACGATGTGGTAGCTGCTTTAATTTGGCAGGAAAGTCTCATGACTTAAGTGAGGACACACGCTGGCCAGTAATTAGTCCGATCCCAAACTGGACGTCACCGATTTTATCAATTGCACACTTCCTGGACAGCCATAAAAAATAATGTCATACTGCATACCTCTCTCATGACTACTGTCAGAGAAGTCGTAATTGAACAATATGTTCATCATTTTTTTTCCCAGTTCAACAACCCCCCCCCCCCAAACAATACCACAGCAATGAAACAGTATTAAAGCTTTCAATAATAAATCAAAAGGTCGTACGCTTAATTGGGAACTTGTTTATTCATTTCATTATTGAACCCTTTCATGCACCCTGTAACCCGATAACGCGATAAACTGTCCACTGTAGTCACCGCTGTCCCTGAAAGGGTTAAAGTATGTAAATGAATATAAAATTAATTTGAATGTTACAAGATGTCACACTATCGATTAAAAAATTATACCGGTAATCTTTTAAGACTCCTACTTTTTCGCTTCATAGCATTCGAGGTTTCTTCAATGATTGAGTCATCCAAGCGATCATTTATTCACTCATCAGTGGGCAGCAGCAGTTAAGTCGGTTTCAGGATGATTGGTGATCCTTATAAAATCATCCTGTGTTCATTTTGTGGTAGGACACGATCAAGAGTGGAAGAGGGAGTCATGTGGTGGTTCCAGCAGGGCCTCAGCTTCCTGCCCACCCTTCTGGTGGTGTGGACGGCGTCGGCGTTCGTCTTCACCTACATCACGGCGGTGGTCCTAAGACACGTAGACCCTCTGGTGCCCTACATAAGGTACCCCCAGGGGCGGGGTGGCTGTTGGGAATTTCAGGAAAACATGTTCATTTTCTTGAACGGCTGGTGTATTTCCGGGCCGGTCGTGGCCATCACGGCCGCTAACAGCCGCCGCCAAACCCCTGTCAAACGATTACGTTTCAGCACGAGACGGTGTCAACCCGTCGCCATCTCCGTTGCGGCGAGTGACGACAACTAATTTAGTTCATGGCTGCCGCTCTCTGACTATAAGGCAGACATGTGGATTGGTTAAATGTGTAATTCTCTTTGTTTTATGTTTAGTTTGACAGGAAACTTCACTTGGTAGTGCAAAAAAAAAAAACCCAACTCTTTAAAAAAAAAAAATTCTGTTGTTTGTTAAGTTGTAAGTGGAGGTACCATGTTATGTACTGTGTTGCACATTTCCCCGTTGTGGGACCAGTAATTGTTATCTGTACATCTCTTTTTCTCTATCACGTTCTTTGTTGTTGTTTTCAGTGACACGGGAGCGATGGCGCCAGAGAGGTGCGTGTTTGGCATCATGCTGGACGTCTCGGCCTTTTTAGGTAGAGCAAAAACAAACACGCAACACAACAGGCTATTTCCATTCATGTTAATGGCACCATTCTATCGTGTGTGCGTGCGTGCGTGTAGGCATGGCCACCGTGTACGTGCGCTACAAACAAGTGGAGACGCTTATGAGCAGCGATGACACATTCGTACACAGACTAAACCGCTACGGGCTGCTGCTGGGCCTCTTCAGCTCCTTGGGCATGTGCGTGGTGGCTAACTTTCAGGTGAGCGCCATTTCAAGTAAAGTAGGGAAAACCAGAATCACGTTCAAGTAATGTAGAAGAGCGGTCCCTTGAGGGCGCTCAAAAGACAACTCCTCTTTTCCCATTGAAATGACTGCAAATGTAGAATTTGTCGGTACGATGTTTGCTGAAGTCCGCCCTGTCGGTGTCCGCCATTGCAGAAGACCACGCTGTTCTCGGTTCACCTGCTGGGCGCCGTGCTGACGTTGGGCGTGGGCGCTCTGTACATCCTGGCGCAGACGCTGCTGTCGCACCGCATGCAGCCGCACGTCCACAGCGCGGGGATCTTCCACGTCCGCCTCGCCGTGGCGCTGTGGACCTTCGCAAGCATCTTCACCAGTATCCTTCAAACGGCAACGGCGGCGCCACAACATCATACACGGATGTTTGGAAAGAAAGCGTTGTTCAAAAGTGCCATTCAGGTTTTCGGAGTTTCCTCCCAAAAAGGGAGTGCCAGAGCACAGTGCGTCAGGAGCTGATGATTGCGCAACATTTTGTACTGAAGCTCGCTTTTGGCCGTTGGGGAGTCAGATCGATTGTTGGGCCTCTTTCCTGTCGCTGCGTTCCTTGAGCTCTGCCTCTTCAGTGTTTGTGTCGTCCGTCGTCATGTACAGCAGCCTGCCCGGAGTGGACATCGCCCGCAAGTTGCACTGGTCGCCCGGAGAGACGGTGGGTGGTGCTTGTTGCATTGATCCACTGTGGGTGACTTCTAAGTTGCTCTGATAGGCCATCCAAAAAAAAAACAAAACAAAACAAAAGAAAGAGGTGCATCCTTTGGCTTTCAATCAGGGCTGTTGTGCTTGAGGGCCAACTCATTCGTCAATGATGTAAAGAATAAAAGAATGTGTGGGGAAGAAAGTCCCATTTTTATGATAAAATCATTTAGGAGCATTTTTAAAATGGTAGCGTTTACAATGACTTGACAAATTATTTCATCAAATTTGAAAATGAAAAGATTTATCTTACTCACTTTCAAATTTTGTTCAAAGTGAATGACAGCTGATTTGCCAATGAGTAAAATAAAAGCGTAACATTATTTCATTTTTGTATTTTCTGTAAGAAGATTTTAATAGTGCATTTTAATTTCTGATTAATGTGGTATGAAATGTAAAGTTGTTCATTTTTTAAAAAAAAAACGTGTATTGAAAATATTTAAAACATAACCTTATCTTTTTAACATAATCTAGAATTAACTACATTCTGATTATTTAAATGTACCATTCAACAATTATTATTTTTATAATCTTGCATGCCCTTTTCCAAGCTGGGCTGGTGAGTCAAAAACGCTTCTTATCTTGACTGGGCGGATTTCTCAATAATATTCGTTACGTTGATCAGTTTTGCTCTTGAATGGATCAAGAGCAAAGGGTAGTCGGCATGGCAACGACTATGACAGGACTTGAGATTTTTTTTTTTTTTTTTTGTCCAGGGCTTCACAGCTCACATCATCAGCACGACGTGCGAGTGGTCCCTGGCATTGTCCTTCATCAGCTTCTTCCTGACGTACATACGAGACTTCCAGGTACTCGTCCTTGCTTTTGTTTTTCTTTCCCAGGCATTTTCTCACCGCCACTATTGTGCTGACATGTACGCGTATCCCTTGAAGAAAATTAAGCTCCGAGCCGAAGTGGTGGTGCAGTGCGACCATTTGTACGACTGGCCGCCAGGGAGCTTCGCCGCCGCCGATATCCCCGACAAACCCGAAGCCTCCGAGTCATCGCCGCTATTGCCGGGAGCAACGTGACCCCGACAAGGTACTAAAAACGGAACACCAATACGATTTTTTACAAGCAGCTTTCACTTTCTGTGCCCTTTCTTATTTAGCCACTTATGACAGAAAAAGTTTTGAGAGCACTTGTTGCGGCGAGCCGTCCTCACGAGAATGGCAACGTCAGTGAAGCCTTCTTCACTTCACACGTGGTCCATTGGAAGAAATGGAAAGAGGCTGGGTATGTTGAATGGGGGCGGGAAAAATAAAGTAGAACGACTCACCTTTTGAAGCCACTTGGGAACATTATTTTGTCGCTCTTTGGTTAATTTTACATCCTCTTTTGTCACAGGAAAAAAAACCCCACAAAGAAAGAATCTGTGTTACTGGTTAGGCGCTCACTGAGCTGAGGTTTCATGTCATTTGCTGATGTTACGAGTGTTGGTTTGAGAATGTACAGGAAATGTCAGTTAGTTTACTATTCATATTAAAACAAACAATCTTGGTTATGTTTTTAATTTGGAAATCAAATGGCTGAAGAACGATAATACAGTGGATTAACCTGTTATTTGCATATTTTCTTTGCTGTGTCCCCCCCTGCATATTTTTGGGGCGGGGGGTGAATTGGCAATGATGGGTGCCAGTTATTTGCAGATTTTCTCTATTCGGTCCACTGTAAATAAATACATGATACTTGTAGACAACTTAATTATTAAAAAAACAAACTATTCAGCAAATGTACTTGCTTTTCAAGTAGTAGATTTAAAATAAATTCAAAGTCATTGAAATTAAAATCAATGTGTTCCATGGTTGAAACGTGTCTGCATATACTCTACACTTGTGCACAATGAATAACTTCCCTTATGAGGTATGAAAATGAGTACAAAAAATTATTTCTGACAAATGAACCCAACACGTAGCTGAAGATCATCCACTATTTTTTTTTAGAAGAGAAAAAAAAATAAATCATTTTATACATGATTTTGTTTTCAAATACAAACATCGGCATTTCCTGTCAGCAATTAAAGCACAAACTTCTTTTTTTTATAAGTATATTCATATTTTTAATTCATCTTGCATCCATGTTTTTGGTCCCGAGTTGTTGCAGAGTACAGCAACATTTCAGCAGGTATGAAACGGCATACTGTCTGTGTGTGTCGCATACATCCAATGGTGGCAATAAATAAGAAACAAGAGAAGCAGCTTTTCATATTTTGTGCAAAATTAAAAAAAATTGGAAGCAGGTCCTGGGAGGTGACACAAAAGATGAAGGTGAGTCCTTCCAGGACCTTTTCACAACACTTGATTGTTCAGCTTAGCGTCACTTTTTTTTTTTTTTGGCACGCAACGCTTGTCGTGTCGTGCTCTGTCTCGCCACGTTTGCGGTTCTTTGACCCATCTCCTCGAGATGGGACCACAGCAGGAAGACGGGCGGCGCCATCCCAAGTGCTAAAACGCAGAGCCGTCGCACACGATGTTCTGTCCTTGTCCCGGAAAGAGCGCCATCTGCCAGTAGCGAGGGTCGGCGTACACTGCACACCGCAAAGGAACACGCGTGACGGGAGTGAAGCGCTCGGCTTTCGACCTGCATGTCTGCCACGTCACTTATTTCCACAAGTCCAGACGTTCAATCATGTAAACGTCCTTTCAGCTATGGAAAGCGCAACCCCCACCCCCTAAATTCAAATTAAGTGATTAAAAAAAATGATGTACCGTATCACCCATCCATCATCCTAAACGATACTATGCTGCTGTTAGTTGCCAGGTTTGCGTTACCCATGTCTCCGGGGTTGAGCCACAGGTTGAAGGAACTGCAGTGTTTCTGGCATCGCGGAATGGGAACAACTCGCACCGTCGGAAGCCCTTCGCCCACCACCAGCCAGCCCAACACCCCCACAGCCTGACACACACACACACACACACGCACACACACGATAAATATGCCACAAAAAAGCTTTCAATTGGTTATGCAATTCTATTTAGGACTGACCTGCTTGTGGGTGTCGGTGTTGTGTGTGACCAGGCAGCGTTGTAAGACAGTGCCGGCACTGTCCAGCAGGGGGCAGAGTTCTGCCTTGGGAAAGAGCCACCTGAACACTTTCTCCCTGGTCGCTGAGCTGAACCTCCTGCTAACACAACCGCCAAACCCACCCCCAGAATCCACACAAAAATTTGCATCATGAAAATGAATTGGCAGGCTACTAAAATGAAGCAACAGGTGGCGCTGTGATGCCCACAGCGAAAGGTCACATTCACCAATCACAAGCCAGAAGAAAGTCATTCATGGAAAAGACATAAATACAACTAAAAAAAATGCTGTCAATTGGTTAGCTGCCATATGCTTGATGGAGTGTGACTGTATATGTGTGTCTTCTACCATAGCAGGCTGAAATTGGCGGGCCCTTGCGGGAGGCCCGTGTTGGGGTTGTGGTCGCCGCTGTCATCGTAGTCATCTTCGAGCAAGACGGACATGGAAGCCGAGTGCGCCAGGTAGAGCTCCTCCAGCTGTCGCCGCTCGATGCTGAGCGACTCGCCACCCTGCGACATGGCAATGATTACAAAAGCAATTCCCGGCCGGGTCGGAATGGTGTCAGAATTGTGCAATTTTTTTAAATCAGTGTGGAAAATCGGTTTTGGGACACACAGAACCATCACACCAGTCCATTATAAATCCAACCATTCTACCTCAATAAAAAAACATTTTTTACCTTTAACAGGACAAGCTGGGGTCCACGACGGAGCGTGACAGTACCGCGGAGGCTCTCCGGTACCTCTACAACTGAGGAGATCTCGGCGCAACCCGAGCAGTTGACCAGATTCTGTCTAAGCGAGCCTGAACTCCACCACTCATGGAAGCCTGCGCGTGTGTCCAAAAGTATTGCAGCACAACTCAATCAATGTTGTATGTCACAGTTATTACGAGTGCGTGTGTTTGTTTACCTTGCAGATTGTACTTCTTGGCGATGGGCAGCGCAAGCAGTCGCACGTGGCTGAGCGGCGATGACCAGTTGCAAGATCCTGGGCGGGCGGTGCCCGAGTCCGGCTCACTCTGGGGGTAAGTGAACGCCAGCGCTGCCAGAAGCAGAAAGCCCAATGCAACAAGCAACTGCACAAAACCACACACAACACACCTTAGCAGCATTTCGGTGAGACGACACAATAGAGACTTGACTAAATCTTGTGAAAATTTTAATGAATTAACAAAATACAAAAAAAAAAAAAAAAAAGCGGTTTCCGCACTCCTCCCCACCTTGACGGTGGCCCTGAGGAGGGGGAACTGCGGGGGCTCGCGTCGAGGTTCGTTGGTCTCCAGCATTCGCTTGATGAAGCGCTCGATCTCCCGCTCGGACATGCCGTAGCGGTAGCCCGATTGGCGTAGGATATCGATACTCTCCGACAGCTTGTCGTAGATGCACGGCTCGCTCATTGTCGTTCCCATAGCGACAGAGGCGGCTTTGCTTGGAGCAAACACAGGCGACCTGTTAATGCATTTTTAAAATGTGTTTTGACAATTTTGCACAACTCAAATCATTTTTTTCCGAAACAGAAAGTGAGACTTTTGTAGAATAGTCAGCCAATTTAAGATGTACTGAGCCGTTTAATTTATCTGGAGACTATAGTGTAGCTACAAATCACGCCATATTATATGTAATAAGACGATACATAGGCAAACACACACAATTTCGGCGTAGTGATAACAAAACATGATCTTATATGTTGGCACGTACAAGCTGACATCCTATTTTTACTCTCCGTGTTTGTACTTTCGAAGTAGCAGTAAAGGTTAGCTTGTGGTGACTTGGTACGCTAGTTTGTTAGGAATGTGTCATTGAGTCGCTTCGTTCACGTGACACAAAACGGATCCGCTCACCCTGAAGCCAAACAACAAATTCCGCCTTTGAGGGCTGTCTTCCTTGTCGGTATTCTAGTAATAGAAGTCTGATCGATGTTTTTTCCGCAATATTCCGTGCATGGCTACTTCCAATAAACACCTGCAGCAGACTCGCTCTTCTTCTCCGCTTTGTGTTTTAACGCTACGAGCTCGCTGTCGCCACCCGGCCGGCCGCCTCTGAAATGAGAAACTGAATGGAAAGCGTGAGGAGCTCGAAGTTGTGACTTCCACTGTGTGGAGGCTGTTTTTTTAACGATATTTAATTGTCACCAAGAATTAAGTGTTAAAATGCGTCTTTCTGGCTGAGACATATAATTCGACGCTCAATTTTAACCATTCAGAAAGGGGCAAACGGCCTTCCATAACGATCGGCCAATGAAAGCGCCTTAAACGCAGGAATTTCCGCTCATCCACTACCATCTGGAAATAACCCGAAAGAAATTTAGTGTTTAATGACGATGGAACGTCCACTTTGAATTGTGTGTTCGTAATGAGAAACAAAATGAAAAGCTTTGTTTGTACGACGTTGAGCCACAACTTCCATATCCGATTTTAACCAACCAGAAGACGACAAAATATAGTTCCTGTAAGAGAAGCCCAATGAGAGCGCGGAATATGACCAGAAAAACTTCCTGTCTTTTGCGTTTGGTATATTTACTAACCAACCAGAGGAGGGATACCTATGTTGCCGTAAGATCGACCAATGAGAGCGCAGTAAACACAAGAAAACTTCCGCCTCTTATGCGTGACGTTGTATAAAGGATGTCTCATAAGTAACCTGGCTGTGAACTTGCTTCCAGCACTCTTACCAAATAGTTTTTTTTCAACGCCTTCTTATCACACAGGCTTGAGTCAGTCTGCAAGTTTCCCTACTGCGTATTAGTTGAGGTGAAAAGAGTGTTCGCGTCTACTTTGCAGCGTTTTACCGTTGGAGGCGTGCGTGGTGTCTCCCACCAGCTGAAAGTCTCCCGCCGTCCACGATGCTCTCCTCGGGCAGGACCGCGTCCTCCCGCTTTTGCTGGCCTCTTCAGAGGCTCTGTCCCCGGCTGAGCTGGGAACGGAGAGCCGCCGCCAGCACTCAACGGAAAGGTGAGGACCGAACCTCTTAGCTGTTAGCTTAGCATGATGTTAACCCGAAAGTGACGCAGTTTGGCACAGAGACCAACACAAATGTCGACTTGAATATTTTTAATATTCATATAATAACTAAAACTGGTTTCGTTGCGGTGACCAAACTTGAACTGGTTTTTAAGATGCAAAGTCACAAAAATAAATCAGATGGCCCCTTAACAGGATCATGACAGCATATAATAAACGTCGTATTCGAGAAATAGAATGCTCTGTTGTGTTTATACATGTTGCGTGCTAAGATGTCAAATAAACTAAATAATAAACCATAAAAACAACACAACGTAACAAATAAACCAGAAAAAAACATCATAAAGAAAGAATGATTGACCGATGTCTCCGTTTCTCCTTCGTAAAGTAACGGAACTATTCAAACCACTTTATTTATATAGCTCATTTAAAAGACATCAGAAGTTGACACAAAAGTGTTGCACAGATCACAAAAACAAAAATCATGATCAAAAATGGTAAAACACATATAAACAAAAAAAGAACCCGCTGTAAACATTAAAACATAAAACTTGCTTTTTGTCATCTGGAAAACCCTGCAGAGTAGCTTTTTGTCTAACAGGCAGAGAGAGAGAGTTTTTTTTTCCCAAAGCGTTGTGGCTGCTACACATAAAACCCCCCACAAATTTTGATTAAAAACTTAGAAATTACTCTCAGCGTTTTTTTTTTGGTTCCCCAAGCATTCCAAAATCACGAGTGTGTCCAGAAAAAGATGTCTGGGAATGACTCAGCACTAACTGACCAGCCACGCTCAGCCAGTTACAGATCCGGGGTCACTCTGGGGACACGCTGCTGCTATTAGAAAACAAACATAACTGATGATATGGTGTTGTTTCATTTTTTGAAAACACTTTTTTATTTATTTAAGTATATATATACATATCCATAGAACTGATCAAGAAACGAGACCTGGTCCAAGATGAGCTGCGGCCCCTCTACATGGACTTCCAGGCCACCACACCCATGGTAACCACCTCGCTTTGCAGAACTGTGTAGAAAACAATGTATTTAGGGAGTCTTCAATTCCCTCTATGGCCTGCTTTCCCCTAACCACCCCCCCTACAAAAAAAAGTTGTCCGCGATTGCTGAGACTGTGGCGCTCATCTGATGAGCGATTACTTGACAATTCAATGGGAAAATCAATAGGATAGTCAATTCTAAAAAGATTTGATAGTGATGTCATGTATTTCCCCTTCTGACATTTTGAATACGATAAGAAATGTGAGGGCAAATTGTAACTGTGCCACGGGAGTGGCAGAAGCACACTTTCAGTTTCACTCTTGACTCCACGAGGTGCTTTCAAGGACTGAAATCAAAACAGCCTTAGTTGGCGCAGAAGAAATTCTGCAATGCTTTTTTTCCTGAGCAGAAAAACAGCTGAGATTTTCAGGGGAAAAAAAAAAGACAATAAAGGATTCCATCTTTAATCTTAACCGGTAGGATCCTCGCGTTCTGGATGCCATGTTACCCTACCAGGTGAATTACTACGGCAACCCTCACTCCAGGACGCACGCCTACGGCTGGGAGAGCGAGGCCGCCATGGAGACCGCAAGGAAGGTAGAAAAAAAAAAGGCTTTGTCTTCTGTTTGCCAAAAAATAAGTGATGTCATCGCCTCTCCGAGCAGCAGGTGGCCGATCTGATCGGCGCCGATCACCGAGAGATCATCTTCACTAGTGGAGCCACCGAGTCCAACAACATGGCCGTTAAGGTATGCTCAAAACTTGTCTCAAGTCACAAATAGGATCCAACTCAACAACTCCGATGAAAAAAAAGAAAATACTGGCCGGCATATGCAAATAAGCTCAGTCAGATAATGTAGCGGCAGCCCACGTCATCACTCATTGATCCTTCTTTTCCCAAACATTACAAACAAAATGTCTGGACAGCCATCTAAAGTCATTTGTTTCCAAATTGCTGCTGGATGCTATCAAGGGAACCGCTGACATTTTGTGCGTGGTGTTGGCGGGTTCGCGTAGGGCGTGGCCCGCTTCTACCAGGGCAAGAAGCGTCACGTGATCACCACGCAGACGGAGCACAAATGCGTTCTGGACTCGTGTCGCGTTCTGGAGGCGGAGGGATTCCGCGTCACCTACTTGCCCGTGCAACCCAACGGACTGATCGACCTCGAGGTACAGTATGTGCGACTTTCACGCCACCGAAAGCAATACTCATGCAAAACTTTGGTCGTTATTTTAACGTGAAGGACTTCATAACAATGTGAAATTCATTTGCATGTTAATGAAATCTGTATCCTGATAACATGATTCAATTATAACCTTGCCCGGACAAAAATATTTTTTACGAATTCATTTTTTGGGTCGCTTCTGTTTTCAGTTGCTGGAGGCGTCCATGACTCCTGACACGTCTTTGGTGTCCATCATGACGGTCAACAACGAGATCGGCGTCATGCAGCCCATTAAGGAGATCGGTAACCGCACCTCCGTTATCCCGTGGCCCATTCAAATTGGCCGGAACAGATTTTGCTCTGACGACCCGATCAGAGGCCGGCCGGGCAAATGCTGACCTCATTGACGGAAAAGAACAAATTTGACAAGTTCCATTTTGAATAGACTTGAAGTGATGTGGGCCACCACTGCCGATCCAGAAGGCCGTGGGCACATGAGATGAAAATGACAACCCCATCAGATGCTGAAATCTGATTGCACAACAAGTCTAATGTCAACATAAGATGTTGTGGAAGCACAAGCCAAGAGAAACGCTACCAAATGAAAAGATTAAGTTGATCTACTCCACTTGTTTACCTTTGCTTTAAGAAATAACACCCCCTCTCCCCCATCCGCCTTCCCTCCTGGCCTTGTGATAAGGTCGTCTTTGCCGCTCCAAGGGCGTGTTCTTCCACACGGATGCCGCACAGGCCGCCGGGAAAATTCCCATCGACGTGTCGGACGCCAACATCAACCTCATGTCTATCAGCGCCCACAAGATCTACGGACCCAAAGGTACGAGGGCGGGCTGTTGCGTCTTCCCAAAGCGGGTCAAGATTCGTGAATGCACTTGTGTGAGCTAACGGTCGTGCGTGCCAGGTGTGGGCGCGCTTTACGTACAGCGGCGGCCTCGGGTGCGACTGGAGCCCCTGCAGAACGGCGGCGGCCAGGAGAGGGGTCTGCGCTCGGGGACGGTGCCCACGCCGCTGGCAGTCGGCCTGGGGGCCGCCTGCAGCATCGCGCAGCAAGAGATGGGGGTCTGTGTGTGTCTGTGTGCTCGTGTGTGTTTTTTGAATGTGTCTGTGTGTGTCACTTTGTGTCTTGCTGTGTGTCTGAACTGTTTTTTAAATGTGTCTTTTGTGTGTAGTACGACCACCAACGAGTATCCATGCTGGCAAACCGTCTGGTCCAGAAGATCACATCTCAGCTCCCTGACGTGATCATGAATGGAGATCCGCAGCAGCGCTACCCTGGTAGACTGAAACTCGCGTCATTGACACACACTGACGTGTGTAGCATCACCGTGTGTGTGTGTTTGTCTCTGTGCCTTCATTAGGGTGCGTCAACTTGTCGTTTGCCTATGTGGAGGGAGAAAGTCTTCTGATGGCACTCAAGGACATTGCGCTATCGTCCGGCAGGTGAGCCTCACCTCCCAAATCATATTGAATTTATTCACTGCCGGCCATTTCAGAGCATTTTGATTGCAATTTCGAGACCCACTATTTTTTTGTTTTTTTTTTCGGTGACAATTTAAACACTGACCCTACCAAAAGAAAAGAGTAGAGTAGAAAAAGTGGCGAAAACAACTGGAACGGATTAATTGCATTCCCATTCATTTCAATGAGAAACTTTACCTCAAACATTTTATTTTAAAACGTACGCACGGAATGAATTAAGTTTGTAGCCCGAGTTTCTGCTATATTCTTCACAAAAATGCACAATATTATTGAACACATGCATATGGGTGTGTTTGTGTAGCGCATGTACGTCAGCCTCTCTGGAGCCATCGTACGTCCTCCGAGCCATCGGAGCCGATGAAGATCTCGCCCACTCCTCCATCAGGTATGCCGGCGGCGGCGGCATCAATCTCATACTCATCCTACAAAAGCCACCTTGGCAAACTTGCGCGTGTGTTAAATAGGTTTGGAATTGGCCGCTTCACCACAGAGGAGGAAGTGGATTTCACAGCGGAGAAATGCATCCAGCATGTTAAAAGACTGCGGGAGATGAGGTGGGACATCACAACAAGAACATTCATTTCATTACACTTTGTTGAAGTGCCCCAAAAAGCCAAAGATAAAGCAAAAACTTTAGTCGACGCCTAGTGCCAATAAACTTGTTTTTTGTTTTTTTTTTGGGGGTTTTTTTCAGTCCTCTGTGGGAGATGGTGCAGGAAGGCATCGACCTGAAGAGCATCAAGTGGACACAGCACTAGACCCCACCCACCTTCTTCGCTTCACTTCCTGGTTGACACCCTCGAAATGAATTTGATTATATTTTCCGTCTTTGTATTGCCGCACTCAAAACACGCACAAATGTCCTTTGAGGTTCCAGAGTGTCCTGTTTGCTTGAGCTTTCCTGTCACATGTAATGCAGTGACATTCGAGAGTTAAAATCTCTGTCGTAGATACCAAAATACATTTGGATTGTTATCTGCAGGAGGGAGCTACCAAAGCTAACACCAATAATAGTAGATGCATTATTTTGTATTGAGTGGTGTCTGTCTTGTGACTTCAACCCGTCTGCATAGTATTCACCAAACATCACGTCAGTGTGTTCGCATCTTGGTTAGTGCAGCCCACACACATTTACAATACTATTCAATAAAGAATATTATTAATCATTCAAAACTGTTTTTTTTTTTCCAATTTGTATTTACACAAACCCTCTCCCACAACGCGAAATACGGGGTAATAAATGACCAGTAAGAAGTATGGTCCATGGACGATTCAACAGTGTGTGTGCGATTCAATAGTATATACGGTGTGTGTGTGTGTGTGTGTGTGTGTGTGTGTGTGTGTGTGTGTGTGTGTGTGTGTGTGTGTGTGTGTGTGTGTGTATATATATATATATATATATATATATACGCGCACACACACACATACCTTTTTTAAAGCCCGTGAAGAAACGATTTAAAATAATATCCTGCTTCATATATATTTTTTAATTAAAATATAAGGAAAGACGGACGGAACTATTACTTCCGATTACTTCCGTGTTTCTGTCGGAGGATATTACGCGACGCATCAGGCGGAAGCGGCGTCCCGGGCAGTTGCCACGTCGGAATTGCAATAAATTCGCTTCTCATTTCTCCCTTTTCATAACATATTAAAAATATTTACTGGAGGGCTTCCCGTCAGTGTGTAGTCATGGTGAGTCCGTTAACATTTCTTTGAAAGCCCAGATAAACCCGCTTGTTTTTTTGTGTGTGTGACTTCTTCAATCTGCTTGCATCCGAGCGTGTTAGCATAGCGGCTACGTGAATTTTGGACAAGCGCACCAAAACGACATTTTCTAAAGTTGTCAATTCTGTGATAATGCAATAAAAGTTTGTGTATTGTTTATAATTTTCAGGTTTCTGTCATTAACACAGTGGACACCTCACACGAGGACATGATCGTGAGTAGTTCGATTTGTGTGCAAAATCCTGATCGATTAACATTTATTTCTCCAAAGTTCAGATTCAACAATCTCTCACCGCAATGACCTATTAAATAAAACCTTTCACTTTAGTTCTCCTGATCTTGAACAAGCTTTGAAACGTCATTTTGCCAACATTCAACTGCATCAAATTCCACTCAGGATAATTTTAACAAAAATCCTTCTGACAAAGACACTCTTAGTAATCAATAACATAAATTTTTGGGCGAGCTGTACCAGAGAGGAAGTGTGTCTAACTGTTGTGGATGTGTTGCAGCATGACGCTCAGATGGACTACTACGGCACCCGCCTGGCCACCTGCTCGTCCGACCGCACCCTCAAGATCTTTGACGTCCGCAACGGCGGACAGATCCTCGTCGCCGACCTGCGAGGGTGAGCGATATTTTTTGCCAAGTCAAAAAAAGTCCCTCACCCAAAAAGAAAAAACGTCAGCGTGTGGCACCTCTCCACTATATCATGGTTCATCATTCACAAGCCCTCAAAATTACAGATTTTGAAGCAACTGTTTTAAACGGGATTTTACAGTTCCAGGCAAATCTGGTTCAATTTAGAGTTCTGCGTCTGCAATGTAGTACCACGTCTGCCGCACGCAGCGCGATGAATGGGGATGCGCTATAGTTTTAACCCCTTTATTTTTTTTTGTGGCTTCCTCAGGCACGAAGGTCCCGTGTGGCAGGTGGCGTGGGCGCACCCCATGTTCGGCAACATCCTGGCGTCCTGCTCATACGACCGCAAAGTCATCGTGTGGAAGGAGGAGAACGGCACCTGGGACAAGATGTACGAATACACGGGACACGAGTCATCAGGTGCGTGTCCGCGCCGTTTCACCCAGCGTCTGGTAGGAAGTAGGAAATACTTGCCAGAGCAGCAAAATGGGGGGAAAAAATACCAAAAGGGCCCCTTAGGAGAGTACTTGACCTGAACATCTGTCCCGACTTTATGGAATCCCCTTACATACGCTTCGTTACTACCTTCAACGAAAGGTTGCCCGTGTTGGTCCATTCTGTGCTGAACATCAAGACGGAGGGCAAAATGGCGCTGAAATTCCGTCTCTGTCGTGTGTGTGTGTGTGTGTGTGTTTTTGCTTGAATGCAGTGAACTCGGTGTGTTGGGGTCCGTACGAGTTTGGCCTGATTCTGGCGTGCGGCAGCTCTGACGGCGCCATCTCCCTGCTCACCTTCACGGGAGAGCAGCAGTGGGACATCAAGAAGATCAACAACGCGCATACGGTCAGTGGTGCCCAAACGGACCGACGCGCTTGTCCACTCCCTACCCATGACCTGATTTGGACGCACCAGTGGGATTCTACTCGGTGGATTATTTCTCATTCTTGTTTTGTTTTGTTTTTTTTCCCCAAAAAATTACAAGGTGGCGGTTCAAGGTAGCATGTGACTGTGTGGCATTTTTTTTTTTTTAATGGAGAACAAGGAACAATCGCATGACGATAATTGTGACGTGTCTCCACATGTGATTGAGACATTTTTTTTATTTTGAACTGTCGAGTATCGTTTGTTTTTTTTGTTTTTTTTTTTTTCCCCCCCTTCTATTTTCTGAATTTTGAACAGCCACAAACTGACAGACTAGCTAGCATAAAATCGAGACTTATTTATTTTTTAATTACTTCTGGTCGATGTGCGTTGTGTGGCGCCAGGCAAGTTACCCAATTTGCTCCCGTTGTTTGTGTGCGCGTCAGATCGGCTGTAACGCGGTCAGCTGGGCTCCCGCCGTGGTGCCGGGCAGCTTGATCGAGCAGCCGTCGGGACAGAAGCCCAACTACGTCAAACGCTTCGTCTCCGGTGGCTGCGACAACCTCGTCAAACTCTGGAAGTAAGTCACGCTCCGATTGACATTCGCAGATAATCGATGCCAGCATGAGAACAAGCCCGAAAACTAAAATACAGTCAAACTTTTTGGCCCCGCCGAGGCTTAACGGCTGTCCTTTTAAACATGCGTCGCCGCGACAACACACGTGTTACGTAGCCGTGGTTATCTTCCAAAAATGTCCACCTGACCGGCGCATGTGACTTGCCGTCGGGCAGGGAGGAGGACGGCCAATGGAAGGAGGACCAGAAGCTGGAGGCGCACAGCGATTGGGTGAGAGACGTGGGCTGGGCCCCTTCCATCGGACTCCCCACCAGCACCATCGCCAGCTGCTCGCAGGTCAGATGACGACAGGTCGCCGGAGCCTGGCGCCGGCGCAGCCCTTTTTGAACGTTTGCCAACGCCGGCGTTCCAGGACGGCCGCGTGTACATCTGGACGTGCGACGACCCCGCCGGCAACGCCTGGACGGCCAAATTGCTGCACAAGTTCAACGACGTGGTCTGGCACGTCAGCTGGTCCATCACGGGGAACATCCTGGCCGTGTCCGGAGGAGACAACAAGGTACGCGTCGGCGGCGCCATCATCTCCTTTTACACGGACGCGTTGGGAGGGTGTGCGCATGTGCTCTACTTTGTATGTGTGTGTGTGTGTGTGTGTGTGTGTGTGTGTGTGTGTGTGTAGGTGACGTTGTGGAAGGAGTCGATGGATGGTCAGTGGGCGTGTATCAGTGACGTCAGCAAAGGCCAGGGAGCCGTGTCGGCCATCACAGACACGCAGCAGGCGGAGCAGTGACGCGCGCACCCTCTCATGATGTCAATATGGTTGTAATAAATAGAATTGATTTTTTTTTTAATCCAACTGTTTCCTGTTGACCAAAAAAAAAAAAAAGGACTCTTCATGTCCATCCTTGCCATCGTGCTTTTGTACCCCTCAACATTGCGCCTCCCTTCAGCCGCTCCCTCCAAATGGCCATCAATAATTGGCTCTGACTGACCAACCAATCAGGAACAGGAAGCACACACCTGTTTCCGACTTGTATGTAATTATTAAAAAAATGCGAATATGAATATGAACACAAGGTTTTGTTTGTCATTGTGTTTCAGTGTTGGGAAAAGTTGAGACTTGATTCACGTGTTGCTGCTTATTCCTTTGTTCATCCTCCTTCGGCATTCCTGTTTGCCTCCTCTTGTTCACCTCCTACTTCTCATCTTCTTCTTCATCCTTTTTGCCTTCTCATCTCGCCTTCCGCTTGGTCGTCCTCGTCACTCTTCCTCATTTTCCTCCTCTTCCTCCTTTGTACCCTCCTCTTCATTCTCCCGTCTTTCTCCTCCTGTCCACCCCTCCCTCTCCCTCCCTCCCTCTTTGTCATTTTCCTCCTCCCCCCCAGCAGCCACTTACTATGAAAGCAGGCCAACAGCTGAGCGTGTGCACACATCAGCCGCCCTCTCCTTCCTCATCATGAGCCTGAGCCGCAGCAAGAGGATCAGCTCGGGCGCCTCGGTCCGCCGCTCCAGCGGCTTCGGGTCGCCCGCGGCCGGCTTTTGCGGCGTCTCGCTCGGCGCGGCCAACAGCGGCGGCCACCTGCAAGGCGCCCCGCTTTCCTCGCTGTCGGTCAACAAGAGCCTGCTGGCCCCCCTGAACCTGGAGATCGACCCCAGCCTCTCCATGAACCGAGCCCACGAGAAGGAGCAGATCAAAAGCCTCAACAACCGCTTTGCCGCCTTCATTGATAAGGTGACGCTATTGAGGTTTGGTGTTTAACGAAACGCTTCATATTGTGTTGTTCAGCTGTTCTGTACTTTTGACTCATTGTTGCAGTTAGTGTATCATTGAACGCTGTACTGATGTTTGTGAAAAACGAGACGAAAGATTCACACTAACAAAGAACCCCCCCCCCCCCAAAAAAAAAACCCTTC